TACTTCTGTGGAGATTTCTCCTGCGTCTCCCAGCTGATCGAAGAGACACTCTGGACCTCGTATCATATGTGGGTTAGGTTCAGCAGCGAGGGAGGGACTCCGTGTGTGGGCCTGACTGCAGGGGCGTGTGTGTGCTTCTGGCCAATTACAGCCCCCAGAGCAGAGGGTGTGTTAGCCACCCTCGCTTGTGTGTGTGGAAGGAGGACGATATTGTTTGAACAGAGTTTAGTGTATTTGCATATCATTTATGTACACACTGAAGAGGTTATACACTTAGATGTTTGATATTAGGCACAAAGACAAGGAAAGTACAAAGTTGATAAAAGTTGTTTTTTACTTTGTGCAATATTCATGCTCCAGTGGGAACAGCTTTACCTGCAAAGGTTTAAATGTCACAAATGTATATGTTCAAAAACTAGTTGGCACAGCAACTACCTGGAAAGACATAAAATCAACTCTTTTCTTGGCTGTGATGTTTAGTTTCTTGTCATCCCTTCAGCTTCACAGTTACATTTGATATCATATTTAACCTTTATAGGTAGAGTAATTAAATATGAATGTGACGACCATCCCTATTTGGTTACTTTACAACTTGGTAATGAAATGTGTGTGAAATTCAAGCACAGTCATAAACAAGCCCTCAGGCCACAGTGTGCACATTGCCACATGGACTGACAGGCACAAATACATCATGTACACATCACATCTCAACGCCCACCCAAGATTGGACTTAAAACTATACTTTGCTGTCAAGGTACTAAAACACTGCCATCTATAGGGGCTCACTGACTGTTTGCGTTTTTCTTCCTCTGTTTACAGCCTCATTCAAATAAAGCAGAGAGGTTTGACTATGTGAGTAAATGCTTTTCATTTTCACTTTTTTATTTATTGCTTTGAATCGTTTGTTGTATGAGTAAATATTGATCTTATTGCAGGTGATGGATTTCTTGAAAAGCATGGCTGGTACAGAGTATGTGGGCTTCAGCAATGCAACGTGAGTACTGTGCAACAGCAACAATATTGTCCTGTGTCACGTGAAATGCATCTTTTTAATACCTGTTATGTTCTTTCAGTTTCCAGTCAGAGAGGGAAACCGGTGATAGGAATTATGCAATTGGTTATTACCTCAAGGAGAAAAAAGTGAGTGCTTTTTATTGGCTATTTTATGTATAATTACAGTCACCAAAAAAATGTATGTCTTCAGTATGTGCTGACTCTGATCTTAATCCTCGCAGTGTTTTCCTGAAAATGCAGATATGATGGCGGCCCTTGACTTCTACTTTCAAGTGAGACTCTTTAACATTGTATTGTATTCTGTGGATGAACATTGTCGAGAGTTAAATGAGAAGATTGATATTGTTCTCATGTCTGTATGATAAATATAAAGCTACAGCGGGAGCCGGTAAGCTTAGTATAGCACCGTCTGTTGCTTGCCTGGCAACCTCACGGTGACTACAGGACGCAAGGAAGTCACTACACCCAGCCAAAAAATAGACTGGCACATAATCCACAACTTCTTGTTGGTTTTTGTACCGATAAAATGAGATATAGCATGTTAACTCGTCAGCTTTAGAGGTACTGGTAGGTAGAGTAAATAACTACATAGAAATAGCCAACCTTCTCTCTGATGCTCTCGTGTGCTTATGAATATAGAGGCATCTGAATTGAATTGAGACTGTTTCATAACCAGTTAAAAAGTCCTTGTACAGGTTTAAGCAAGCAAGAGGATTTCCCCAAATGTTTCACTGCTCGTATAAAACTGTTACTTATGTGCTGCTCCAGTCCAAAACGTTTTGTTTTTTTATTTTAAAATGTTTTGATATTTTTTTATACCAGTTGTGCTCCATTGAGGTGACCTGTGAGTCAGGAAGTGTCATGGCTGCCACACTGGCCAACGGAGGTATTTGTCCAATCACAGGTGAGCGCGTGCTGAGCGCTGAAGCCGTACGCAACACCCTCAGTCTCATGCATTCCTGTGGCATGTACGACTTCTCCGGACAGTTTGCCTTCCATGTGAGTCACGGGGAATTCAAGGACCTGTTTGAAAGCATTGTCGCTCCAGGAGATGCTGAATCCAGGTTTCTAAATGAGATATTTTGTTTCCTCCTCTTGTTCAGGTGGGCTTGCCTGCTAAATCTGGAGTTTCAGGTGCTGTTCTGCTGGTGGTCCCCAACGTCATGGGTATGATGTGTTGGTCTCCACCTTTAGATCGGCTTGGGAACAGTGTTCGTGGCATTCACTTCTGTCAGGTATTTAGTCGCCATCACAGTTTTATTGATTTGTCTTTACCCAATGAGTCTGTATCTGTATGCTTCAAATATTCCTTTTTAATCAATTTTTGATTCACTAGGACCTGGTGTCTCACTTCAACTTCCACAATTATGACAACCTGAGACACTTCACTAAGAAACACGACCCCAGAAGAAGATCAGATGATGATCCAGTAAGTTCAGTGCAACAAGTGCAGAGGCTGTAATTCTAATTCAGGCTAGTAAGAAACATAGATGCCTCTTGAGTTTAAGAGACTGTATATTATCATAAAGTAATGTTTGTCTTTTGATCCATTAGAACAAGTCAGTGGTAAACCTGATGTTTGCAGCCTACAGTGGTGACGTCTCTTCTTTGAGGAGGTAAAGCTCAAAGCTCCAACACTAGACGAGTACACAGCAGATGGTTGAAACAATCTTAAAAAGACCCTGACCGATATTATATACCGATTATTTTTCCGGTATATAATGCAGAAATGCTTGTTTCTAGAATTGCTTGACAATGCATGTTAAATTATTTAACATGTTAAAGAATATTTAACTTTAATAGTAATTTGAAAGCAACCTTCTGAGAACCTAAAAGTCATATCGGGGCAAAATCCGCCATATCAGTAATTTTCTGCCTTTAAAAGTCGGTTCTCAGGCTTTAATCTTAATGAAACAGTTTGACATTGATATACTTATTCACTTTCTTTCCAAGAGTTTGATGAGAAGATCAAAACCCTTTTAACATCTGTGAAGCTAAAGCCAGGAGACAGGTTAGCTTAGCTTAGCATAAAGACTGGAAACAGGGGGTAGCAGCTAGCTTAGCTCTGTCCGAGGGTTTAAAACATAACCAACATTACCAGCAGCTCTAAAACACATTATATTTAATTTAAGTCTAAAAATGGCACGTTGTGGTTCGAGTCTTTATGTTAAGCTAAACTAACTCCTGACTGTAGCTTCACATATTCTTACAGTTTATTCATTCACTGCTTTTCAAAACATGTCTGCTTTCATATTAACAAGTCCTTTACTTGTGTGATTGTAGGGCTACTCAGTACAGTTTCTGACAGTTTGCGATCACTCAAATTAACCTTTCTATGTATGTTCCCTCTCATCTCCTCCGCTCCTTTGTTACCCCTTCCAGGTTTGCCCTTTCAGCCGTGGACATGGAGCAGACAGACTACGACTCTCGCACAGCGCTCCACATCGCTGCTGCAGAAGGTGACACTTCATTATTAGTTCATTCATTCTTCAATAATCTCGGCTTTGATATTCAAACCAGAATGAATCAAATATGCCACTGGAATTGTCTTTCAGGTCACGTGGAAGCTGTTATCTTCCTCACTGAAATATGTAAAGTGAATCCCCACATGAAAGACAGGTAGGGATTTTAAATATAAACTATTTCATCTTTTAAAAATGGTAGAAGGATCCATCTCCATATTACTAACCATAACAATCCATCCATCTCCATATTACATTGTGTTATCTATCAGATGGGGGAACACACCCATAGATGACGCCATGCAGTTTGGCCATGATGTTGTTGTTTCAGTCCTGCAAGAGTACCTGGTTGCGTACACTGACGCTGACTCACCGGGCGACACAGAGGAGCAGAAGACCACGCTGGACACGGTGAAGAGCATCGTTTAAACCACGGGGGATCGTAAGGGTTTGAAAATGTATTTTATTACACACCTGAGAGGACTGAAAGGACACAGGATGATTGAGAGACATGATGAATGAATGGGTTTATCTTTAATATGATAATAAATTATATATAATGTGGGGAACATCCTTTAGACTGTTGAAAAGCTATACAGTGCATGATTAAGTCCCTTTGCAATGCATTTCATTAAAATTCTTGTTGTTTTTCAACAATATAAAGTATCAACAAAGCACTATATAAATAGACAATGTGTTGCTTGTGTGGAGAAAAATGATAATTTAAGCCTTGAGTTGCAATTTTAATGAACGTTTTTTGTGCCAAGCTTATGATAGAAAATACCACAGAGATGTAAATATATATATAATATATTGTGCTTATTTATTTTTTAAATACTGAAATATATTTAGCTTCATCAGTATGCCATTTAATCAGGGGGATTTTATCCATCCTGTGTAATAACTGTATAAATATTCTCAAAGCTGCTTCATTCATTATTCTACCTCAACAGGAGGTGATGGAGTTGCATTTGCGCCTGTAACACTGGAAAGACTGTTTCATTGTAGTTTTTGCCAATTCACTGAGGCTCATGGTCCAGTTTATTCACTGCTACCTTCTGTTGATGGCATTTTCTTTTTTCTTTTTGGAAGAATTACTCTCGCTTCATTAGAGTGAGCTCTTTTTACTGGTTACTAGTGTATCACAGAAAACATCTGCATGTCTCAGGCGCTGGGAACAGTGCACAGTTGGGTTACTCAAACACTAAATATATAATTCAATTTATGCAACTAGACACACATTTGTTTGAAGTGATACATTTTGACATGAGGACAATTAAAGCTTTTGCTCGTTAGTATGCAGTGTACTGAGAAACTCAACCACCATTTTTAAATGTCTGAACTGTGTGAAGTCATATGATAAATATGTAATATTCTACAGTTTAGTCAAATGTTTGCATTTTATTGTTTCATTTTATTTAACTCTTTATCTTAAGTGAAATGATTCCTCAGGTCTACTCAAGCTTTTGTCTGTGACTGTAAATATACATCATCCTGCTGTAAATAACAGAGAAATTAAAGCAATTTCAGTGAAGTTATTTTATTAAACAATATACAGTATGAACATGAAAAAAAGGCTTTGTGTTGATTTCAGCTGTGTGGGTAATGACAGAAGACAGTGTAAACTGACAACTTGGCAGTTAATGTTCCCCTCAAAAAACAACCACGCATCCTTTTCACATCCATTCTGTCTTCAGTCTGAGAGGTAATACATGAGGTACACACACACACACACACACACACACAGATATATATATATACAGTGTCTGTGGTATGGCTGCCTGAGGCTGGACAACATACACAAAGTATGAACTTGCATTGTTAAGAGTCATGACTATGAACCAGTTGGACCAGAATTAACCATCACATGCAACTGATTTGATTTGCACAGAGATATTGCTTTCTTTCCTGGTAATAAATGTTGCCACGGTACCAAACCCAAAGCCTGTGGCCCTTCACAGCAGTCACAATCATCCCCACCGCGGTTCCTCCCGCTTCACTTCAGGCCTTCGGGCTCCTCCAGACCAGAGTGTGTGAGCAGCTCCCCGTCCCAAAGTCCAAACGCAGGGCAGAGGGGAGCCTTGAACTGGACCCTGATGGTGTGAATGATCGTGTGGTGTTCAACGTCCACCAGCCCCAGAAGGCCAGCGTCGTAGTCAAGCAGGATGCCTACGCGGTCCGGCTTCCCCACCAGCGTCACAGGAACTATCTTATTGCTGGTCATGGCGAACCACTTGCGCTGAGCGTAGCCGAACACCCAGGAGGAGCTGTTGGTGCCCACGCAGTCCTCTCGGGACATCAGTGCCTCGGCCACACCCAGACGAAACTCTTGAGACTTTTTGACCGTCACCTCCCAGTAGTGCCGCCCGCTGCCGATCTTCTCATCGCCGAACACGACGGCCCAGTCTCGGAAGCGATTAGGGTTGTCCTGCAGGTGGCTGGGGTCCAGACCCAGCATGCGGTAGATGACGCCAGTGTCTTTCTTGAAGAGGTCCAGACTGCTGTGAGCTGTTCGCTCATCAAGCCTGAACTGAAGATCTGAGGAGAGCAGGGAGAAAAAGACAATATTTTTTTTAATGATGAGTTTGATGTTTAATAATGGATGAGGCGATGGAGTCTGCCTTACCCAAATCTGGCACTTTGTTTATGCTGTCAGTGTCCATAAAATTGATCTGAATATTATTTATGAGCTGCACTTAGAGCAGATCAGGTCTTGCAAATATATTGAAAACAATGGCTCCCAAACTGGGCGGAAGAAAAACTGAATAAACCTTTTTCAGAATAGACAATCTGACATGTTAAACACAAGTGACTAATAACATTAATTGCTACTTTATATTGCTGGAAAAGAGCCATTATTACTATTACTGCTAAGTACGAATGGAAAAAAGTCTGCTGGAAAAACAAAAGGCCTAAATCTGATTAATTTAGGAACAATAAGGAAACCAGAGTGCTCTGAACCTAACAAATCTATGAAGCTTAGAGTTGGAACAATTAGTTCCTTAGTCTCCCTTTACTTTGTAGGTACGCTCAGCTCTGCCCGGAGCAGATAACCATATAAAGAGAACTGTGATGTAAGCTTCAGAACAGTCTGATTTCTGAGCTTTTTACTCACAGGGATTACTTTTACATAGTTTTACCACACTCTGACCTCATCATCTGACATTGTAAGATCACATACATGTAAAAAAAAAAAACTAAGGAAAGGTAAGGGAAGAAAATAAAAACTGGTAATGCTCATCAAGGAAAGACCTTAGTCAAACCCAAAATATAAATATAAACCTATCTAAGAGCAGGAGAGCCGCCTTGTGTCCTTTGCATTAGTTTTGCATTAGTTTCTGAAAGTTCAGAAACTAATGCAAAACAAGTGGGTCAATAAAACTAAACTTGGCTCCTTTTACTACTCAGCAGTGTTGAGTGTAACCTGATCAGGAATTCCAGTTCACATTGTGACAGCTGCAAATAAAAAATGTTGAAGGTTACTGTCTACTGAAGGTATATTTTGCAGTCTCAGTGAGATTACCTGACGTAACAAAGTGTGTGTGTGTGTGTGTGTGTGTGTGTGTGTGTGTGTGTGTGTGGCCGCAAACTCACTATACACCCATTATCGGACAAACTAAAAATAACCATTATTATTATCTGAGACGCATGCGCACTTCAGACTTTTAATCCAGGTGAGGGTTTTGTTTAGAGAGATCTGACCAGCGTTGCCTCGACTTCCTTCTAGCTTTTGGCTCTTGTTGTTATTTGTTACCCAGTCCAGAACAAAAACAAACATCAGTCACCAGCTGCTTGACGGGCTCGCTGACCTCTGGTCTGCAGCTACGACTCAGAAGCTAGTGTCTCTATTGGTAACTTTGTTTACAAACACAAACACTCACGGTTCCCGGTCGAGGTGGATATGTAGCATCTCCTCGCTGGCAGGCTGACAGCCCGCCTGGGTCCGGCTGCCAGGGAGGTGGCGGTCCGTCCCGCCAGGCAGAGACAGAGACGAGCTGCACTAACGGGCATCGCCATGTTTTTCCACTGCTGGTGTTGCTCACATGGTTTGGCTCTTTCTTCCTCTCATGGTAATCCACCACCACCACCAGCACCGCCCCCTGCAGGCCTGGAGAGGAACACCCACAACCGACACACCTCCAGCCAGCAGCACGGACAGCAGCACGGACAGCAGTACGGACAGCACAGCCTCTCAGAAAGTCTCAAAATGTTCAACTGTGACACTCAAGTAGGTATACCTCCAACAAACCCACAAAACTTTATTTAAAAATCTAATATAGATGACAAAAGTTTCAAAAGATACAAAAAAAGGGATGTTAAAGGTCCAGTTTGTAACATGTAGTGGAATATAATATTAATATTATTATATGGTATGTTTGAATTAATATATCACCTGAATCTAGGAGTCATTATATTTTTGTTAGCTTACAAAAGAGTCGTTTTTTATCTCACAGAAACAAATTCTGACACATTTCAGCGTCAAGCCCTCGTCAGGGTGTCAAATTTGATTTTTGTGTCAACGTGTCGGCTTTCCTTATCCAAAGAGCACCTCCAACAAACTCAGTTAGTGTAGAGGAAGCGCTCCTTCCCAAGCCTTTAGATGCTGTTTCCATGCTCTCCTCACACTGCCATAAAGTTACGTTTTAGTAAACAAAATTAGATATATGGGGAAAAAAATGTAAGTCAATGCAAGGTAAATTTATTTATACAGCACATTTAATACCCAAGGCAACCCAAAGTGCTTTACAGAGTTCATGCGAAATAATAAAAACAATAAAAGCAAGCGAGCAGAATCACATAGGATAAAAGCAATAACATCAGACAGACAAACTGTTTGCACTAACTTCCTCCAGGTAGCTGAAAGCATCCACATTCCCAGAAAAATAAAAAAACTGAAACTCTGTTGGGAGCTGCATAATGTCTCAAGAATGTAATAAAAAAAGACCTCAAAATCACATAAGGTTGCTGTTTGGCTGTGAACAAAAAGCAATCAGGATCCATACCAAGTGCCACCTTCAGGACTTCTAACACTTAAAGTACAAACTCCTTCGATAACAAAAAGGAGCTTTTGGTTTTGTTAGCAGGGGGTTTAGTATTCAGATCATTTATTTACATTAATGTAACACAATATCACACAGTCACATGTCTAAAAAAACATACACCTTAGGAAAAGTTTGCTTCGTAATATATCAAATCTATTATAGTTATAGCTGTTTGTGCTGGATTTATTTACCTGGGCGCAGTTGTAGGACTTTTTAATGTCTCCGATAAGAATCTTTTTTCATGCTGATGCAATTAGGATTTAAGGGTAATGCATCTTTCATGACAAGTAATAAATATTTTGTCATATTAACAAAGCTTCATTCGGCTTGGTTGCGCAGCCGGATCCGTTTTTCACGTCAGTATCCAGCTGGGGACTAAATGTCATTGTTTATTCATGGTCCAATCTAGACATGGCACATATCATTATTTTCCTTTCTGGTGCCTGATAACGACTTTGTTTTGGACACTCCTCACCCCCCCTTTCTCCACGTCTGATAGAGATGTAGGGTTTGTGTGGGGAAGTCAGACCTTCTCCTTCTTCCACATTCAAGTTTAATTTGAATTAATTCAAGATTTAAGGAAAAACAGATAAATATTTGTTTGTGTTTTACTAAGGTACTTTCATAACAAAACACACTATAGCAGTGGTTCCTCTACCTCGGGGTCAGGTCCACCACTAGGGGTCACCAGAGCTTAACGGGGGGTCACAGGGCTTTCTTGATTTTAAAGTTTAGATAGCTGAACACCAGTTATATATAGAGCCTTCACTTTCTGGTAACACTGAATTTGTCAAATACACTATTAAGTAAAATACATAATCCAGACAGAGAATTTTATTAAAACATCAGGAAAACTAATTTCTGAGTATTCACATGAAATAATCTGCTCAAAATTCATTAAAATCACTCGTTTTACACAACCTTCCTGCAGTTATTGTGTTCACAATTTACTATTATTCTACTGTTATTGTTATTCATTGAATATAATACCAAATATCCATAAAATAAGTCACTTGTCAGTCGGATCCACAGTTTACTCAATGATAGAAAAGAAGTCCTGTGAGGAAAAAGGTTGGGAACCACTGCACTATACTGTAAAAACATTAATTTGATTTGATTAGTCAAATGTTAGAAAATTAATCATCAAATTCTGTTAATGTAAACAAAAATGCCCCAAAAATATTTTGCTTCCAGCTTCTCAAATGTGAATATTTCCTGATTTTAGTCTCTCAGCAGCTTCAGTTTTCTTTAATCTGTCCCCTGTGAGACCCCAAATTTAACAGAAGTGTAATACTAAATTACTGTTGTCCCTCTTTAATACCTGGCCCAATTTTCTTCCTCTTCCTCTTCTCTGATTAGATTAATCAAATTTGAAATCCAACAATCCAATCCCATCGTTGGATTTGTGTTTGTATTCGTGGAGGAAACTAGTTTGTACGATGGAAACTCTTATATTCAGCAGCTGGAAATATTCCATTGCTTTGATTTGAACAAACAAAACTGGATCTTAATCATTGTAATGAATTTTAGGGGAGAAAGGACAGAAAAATAATATAACTAGTAGTGTAACTAATTACTGTTAGCAGGAAGTAATAAGTGTAAAATGTAAAAATATTACATTTGAAAAGAGTAGTATATTGCATTTTTTAAGTAACTAGCCCAACACTGATGACCAGTGGTGTTCTTTTCTTGTTCTTTGCTTATAAATTGGATTATTTTAAACCTTTATATTCATCTATCCATTGCAGAAAGAGGCTTTTTTCTAAATAGGACATTTTAAGGCTACACTATAAGTCCCCAAAGGAGCCTTTCTCTCTCTCTCTCTCTCTCTCTCTCTCTCTCTCTCCTCTCTCTCTCTCCCTCCCTCTCTCTCTCTCTCTCTCTCTCTCCCCCCTCTCTCTCTCTCTCTCTCTCTCTCTCTCTCTCTCTCTCTCTCCCTCTCTCTCTCTCTCTCTCTCTGCGGTCTTGTGTAGTGAAGATGTGAAACTACAGTAACTCACAGGTGAACAGCAGAGCGTCAGTCTCTCCTCTCCTCTCCTCTCCTCTCCTCTCCTCTCCTCTGCTCTCCCGCTGCTGCCAGGCAGACACCAACAAGAGCGGAGGAAAGCTCACGACTCCTCACCACCGACCACAATAACCAACCGTCTGACTCCCAAACACGTTTTTCAGCTTTTTGACTAGAGGAAAAACAAAAACCTCCTGACTTAACCCGAAAAAAATAATGAATCGACGGACGTGCGTAAAGCGCAGCTACAGAGGAACTCTTAATAAATGAGCTGAAGTGTCAGAAGGATTTCTCTCTCTCTCTCTCTCTCTCTCTCTCTCTGTCTCTCTCTCTTCAGTCTTCCTCTCTGGGTTGGCGTGCAGGAATGATGTGTGCTTCAGTGGACTTATAGCTGATCGACCAGCGGATTCGCAGGCTGATGAAACTCTTTGTCAACCTTTCTTTCTTTCTTTCTTTCTTTCTTTTTATTATTCTTTGCATTCCTGCAACCCAGTGAGAAAGCTGCAGAACATCGCTGTGCGCAGTGCTGATGGACCGTCGCCTTGACATCTTGGTTATGCACGCTTTCGAGTCACCCCGCTTTCGCACGTTTGCTCATGTGAAATGCATCACTTCTGCACACAAATCCTGCTCGTTGGACTTTTCTGAAGAGCGGCGGATGCTCGAAATGTTTTCTCTCCGTCAGTCTGAATGAGGGGGATGGCAAACCCGAAGTCCAAGAGTGGCTATTTACGCGTTTGCACCTGTTCGGGTGGACAGTTTATGCCACAGGTGAATGAATATCGGCTCAGTTTCTCTCAACAGTGAGTGTTTTTGAAGCAGTTTTTTTTCTCTCTCTCATTTAAGATCGAGCTTGTTGCACAGTCGCAATGGATCTCAAAGTAGAAACCGAAGAAATGGACACGAATCAACCTCCACCCTTGGAAGTTTTTGCGCACAGCTCGACCCTCCACGGGATCTCTCACATTTTCACGTACGAGCGGTTCTGCATCAAACGCTGCCTGTGGGTCGTGTTTTTCTTGGGCTCTCTGACCTTCTTGCTGTACGTATGCGTGGATCGGATCCACTTCTACCTCGAGTACCCGCACGTCACCAAGCTGGACGAGGTCACGACCCCGATCATGACGTTCCCCGCGGTCACCTTTTGCAACCTGAACGCGTTCCGCTTCAGCCGGGTGACGCGCAATGACCTGTACCACGCAGGGGAGCTGTTGGCCCTGCTCAACCAGAGGTAACCAGCATGATCAGATTCATAAAAGTGCAAAATGAAGCCTATAAGTGAATACCTGTTTCTACTGCATGTGGCTTTTATTTTATAGCTATATCAAATGATTTCTCCACCCTTTCCCATTTCAGCTTGTCATTATGAATTAGTTTCATATTGCTAAAACTACTTTTATTCAACTTAAAGTATTTCCATTTTTTACCTCTACTCTGTTACAAGTGAAATATTGTACTTTCTGACTCCACTATCACATTTACTGTCAGCTGTAGTCACTGCATGATTTGCTAATTAATATTTAGATAGATTTACCTTAAATGTAAAATGGTTAGCTCCACTTCAACAAGAGATAATAGAAAATATAAAAGGCTGCTTATACATTATTGCATCGATAATACTCACAGGGGCCACTTTTCTACATTTTGATCATTTAAGTACATTTGGCTTATCATTTTGAATGCAGGACTTTTACTTCTAATGGGGTATTTTTCTTCAGAGCTGTATTACTACTTTTACAGTGCTATAACATATACAAATAGTCTGCTTGGAACAATAATGTGTGCCTGATATGGCTTTTCCGCAAAAAAAAAAGGTATAATTTCCACGTTGAAATCCTTAAAAATAGCATTTACTCCTTCTATCTCAATAAAAATACCAGAATCTATGAAAATGCATACGTTGTTAATTTCTAAAGTTTTCCTGCTGGACACAAGATGTCTCCTACTTCACTGTAAAGTCCATTCTCAGTGTATGTGCACTGCTGGCTTCAAGTTTCTACATTACACTTTCATACTGGACCAGGATTGACTTCCAAAAAGTATTTATGATGTCACAAATCCTGCTCATAGGCCCCGCCCCTTAAAATCAGTTTTTGATGAGCACAGAGAAACTTTCCACTTTCAGGAGATGAATGTAAAAACATCCTTCTAGTGTCGAACTCTGCACATACATCATTCTGCACAGTGAAGATCAAACATCCAACTGTAGGAACGAGAAGAAAAAAATACTTTCAATTGGATGGGAGCTTTAAGAAAAGGATCTCAAAACGTCATCCATCACTGGCAATTGTGTCTCTCTCATCCAGTTCTAATAATTTCTACCTTATTGAGTCATTCAATGCTTGGAGAGCAGGCTTGTCAGGCTTGAATTAACTGAGGCATTTTAATCAGAGAACAGCAGCCGTCTTGTTGGTGCAGCTGAAGGTTCTGGATACTGGAGCTGGCAACAGCATGTAGTGTATGCACATGAGGGATACATGAAGAGAGTCTGCTTCCTTTGATTACAAGTGAAATGGCAGATGCACTGGGTGTTTTTGTCATTTATTCTTTTAAATCCTCATGTTTCCGAAACCTCAACAGAGCTGCAAAAAAACAAAACTCCAGCACATTAAATTCACTTTGTTTCTGAGCTGTCAGAGATTCTGCTTCTCTGCATAGTCAAGAAGAAAAGAACAGTTGAACAAATAGCCTATTTCCAGTGATTAAGATCATGCACAGGGCTGCCCAAGCATCAGAGGAGAATGAAGAAACATCTCACAGAGCGGAGACTGTGACTAATCCTGGCTTTTGAAAGCTGTTTTTGATAAACATGTTGCTTTCCCTCTGGTGTTGCAATATTGTTCCAAATGTCAAAAGAGGCTGCAATAATGAAACAAATCAGCAAGATGGTGTCATTCACCGCATGTGGTGGCGGACAGTATTTCAGGAGAGCGTGGACTAGTGATGAAAAAGATTTTAGAAAGTGTAAAACCGCTCAGATCTCCAATGATTTGATCCTCTGACAGGCTGTCAGTTAAAGTGATCAAGGACAGGGCTCAGCATACAGTGCTAAAGCCCTCTGGCGGCTTTACTTTTATGAGGGTATACAGCCAACTTCTCTCCTAAATTTTTAATGAATATCTCAGACTAAACACTAAAATTAGTATTTATTTTTCTATGACGCTGCTGTGACTGATAATCAGAACTTGCCATCTGGATATTTTTACATGAACACATCCCACATTTCCAGGTAGCGGGTCACAAGAAAGTCTTTTCAAAGTTGGAGACCAAAGCATAAAGGGGGCAGATTTTCCCACTGAGTTTTCTTCCCCGTGTACTCATCTCAACTCTCACACTCTGAAGTAGGTTTAGCGCTCATTATCCTGCCTCTCTTGGCAAGGTAGAGAGGCGATGCAACGGCACACTTAGCTGTTATACCCCCGGCCAGAAATGAAAGCGCTCTGGGCATGAAATCCATTTAAGACTGTTCTCCACCCACTTCCCATGTTTGGAGTCACTGGCCTGGGAAATGTCTTGTGGCATGATATTTAAGCTGCACACATGCTGAAGTGTCAGCCTTCGTCGATCCCGCCGGCTTGTTCTTCTGGGATTTTATCTCATAAGTGCATTCTTGGCAGGTTTGTCCACTACACAAACAGTGGGGAGCGACCGCGTGCCTCTCCTCAATTAAGTTCTCTTTCAATCAAACAAAAACACTCCCCATTTGTAATGAGGCTTAATGTAATCTCAGTGTCACATAAAAAAATCTATGAGCTAATTTTTAATCCTGAATGAGGCTAGTTATTATTGATTTAATGTTTGGAAGATGTTGAATTTCCCTTTAAAAATGAAAAACAAAAGGATTACTGCTCCTAGTTTCAAGTCTTATGCCACTGAATCTCATTCTTGTTCATGTAATGCATACAAATATATTGGGTGTATCAATATGTTACACAAAAGATCAATAAAAGACCATTTTCATATAAAAGTGGCTGCATTCATATGAGAAATTTCCAAAAGGCATTTCGTTTGAGGCAATGTACTGAAAAAAAAAAAAAAACTCTAAGCAATCTGCTCTTTGGTGAGTCCATTAAAATGGTGACATTTTTAATAATAGCACAGCGGGAGATCACAGTGAGGGTAGAGAGTGGGCGCATTTACAGCTATTCTGCTCTCTTTTAATACGAGGCAACGTGGTCAGATTTTTGTGAGCTCCATTAAATGAAAGGAAATTTCCCAGTGCCCCCGATAAGGCCGGGTGTGATGTGGGTTGTCTGGCTCCCCACTCTGTTACTCGCGGGCCTTTATTCTTAATGTAGTCACACACACACACAAAAAGAACAAAATGAAATATCACAGAAATGTAACTGAATACCAAGCTATTAATAATGTGAAGATATCACTTACACGAGATATTACTATGCAAGGAAATGGTCGAGACATTACTGTTAGTGATAAGTATATAATGAAAAATGAGGAGACATCCATTGCTCATTTCACTGAACAAATCTAATGCATTCAGAACATCGTATCACTTCACAGGTCCAGGAAAAAGACAGCCATAAAATCTTATCAAAAATATGACTTTTCCATCTCTAATGGACACAGTCAGACACACAGCATATCTTAAATATGGATACTGAATATCAAACCATACAGCGGCTTGTAAAGAATCTCCAATAGCTCTTTTTCACAGCAGCCATTTTGACATGAAATAGTAGGGTAAACACACTGATACTAATTGAGGATCTGCTCCATTTGGGAACAGATTGTGCACGTTGTGTCTCACTTGGAAAGGCTCTGCTACACTAAATGGAACTGAACCTGAATTAGTATCATTACTAACACCTGTCACCCTATTTTCATGTCAAAATAGCTGCTGTGAAAAACGTCTATGATACACAAACAGCAAAAAAAACCTCTAAATGGCCATTGCACACGACCTGTTCAGCACAAAACAGCAGACAACGTTAGCGACTACTGCTAGTTGTTGAAGCATTTAGGAAGTGATCATCCATAAACAGCTAAAAGAGAGTGAATATTACGCTTAAACCTAAATGAATAAATTACAAAGTTGTTCCGTAACTGCCGAATATGTAAATAAGCAACTGTTTGATATCAAGTTTGCCATTTTGGCTTAAAAGGTGATGATGCTTTATGTCAGTGTACAGCAGAGGCTGATGGGAATTTCATTAGTTTTTCAGTTATTTGGTCATAGATCAAAATATACTGGACAAATACAAATTCTGACCTGATGATCGTGTTTTTGGCCATCATCAAACAAGTGTCTGCACCAAATTACAAGACAAATCATTCAATAATTGTATTGGTACTTAACGAAACTCATTAGAAAACATCGTCTGTGGGGGGAAAAAGGCTGAGTTTTTGTGCTTTATTTTGTGCTAGTAGGAGTTTTAATATTTCTCAGGATGGTTCTAGATGAAAAGCCAAGAGATCATCCTCTCTCCATCCTCTACAGACCATGAATGTCTGGACCAAACTTCATGGCAATCCTTCAAGTAGTTGTTGAGATATTAGGTGTAGACCAAATTGGTGGACTGACTGACTGACACTGCCATCCCACGCTAAAACTCTCTAATGATAAAAAACAAACATGAAAAAGGTCATCTAATGCTGCAGCGTCTTATTTACTCTTTTTTTTAATATGTGGGATCAAAGTAAAGCATCCTTTAGTTTGTGGAAATGTATCTTTCTTGTTTTGAAAGAAGTGACAGGAAGAATTCACGGACTGTGACAGAAATAATGAGCAGGGATACTTGTAATAAGTGAATTCACTCAAAGTCAGCCGTACCCCTAACATTTCAGTCAGATTTATTTTTCTGAATTCTCACGGCCAAAACGATCCAATCAACATAAACACAAACACATTTTTTTCCTCCAGGTTTGGATCGAGATAAGTGAGCCTGTGTAGCCTGAAGCTACTGCATCGACAGTGGATGGACGACTGGCTTTATGAGCCCATACAGCTCTTGTCTGAACTTTATTATGTACTGTACAATAAAGCGTTACACTCTGGTAGTGCTATCAGTTCAGGGCCAGAAGATGTTCAGGACTATCTCATACATTTTTACTGTCTGTTTTCTGTCTCTTTTGATTCATTCTGCACTCTATTATTTTTAGCTTTGGTTGAACTGAGCAAAAGTTCACAGCTAAAGAGTCATAAACCTTCTTGAACTGTGCAAAAAAAATGTTTCAAGGCTGAAGTCGCGTTTATCATCAGGCAGTGATTATTCACTGGGAAGGCGTTCAAGGAAATTCATAAAGCCGCACCACGAAATTAGTGTGAAATGTTTCTTCAACCTCTCTCTTTCTGTCTGTTTTTCCAGGTATGAGATCAGGGACATACATCTCGTGGAGGAGAGCGTTCTGGAGAGCCTAAAGGTGAAAGCCGACTTCCACAATTTCAAACCGCGACCATTCAACATGAGAGAATTCTACGACCGCACAGGTCACGACATCAACGACATGCTGCTCTCCTGCCACTTCCACGGCACCGAGTGCAGAGCGGAGGACTTCAAAGTGGTAAGCTGTCTCCCAAGAAGATCTGATCCGATCACAACTAAGGGATATATCTAGTGATATTCTTTTGTTATTGTCTACAAATCAAGACCAAAACTGACAATATCCTGCTAACAGGATGTATTGTATTCCTCTTATTACTTGTCTAGTCTAGTTTTTAAACTACAATTTGAACTTACTCTTCATTTAAGGAAATATAAACCTATAAATATAATGATACAGCAAATATTGTGCACATTGTTAAAAAAATTTATTTGGATATTTTTTTGTTGGATAACAGTATCTAAGCCTCAGACCTCTGGGTGGTGTTTCCCACGGCAACAGTTGACTGATATTTGTGAACTGCCGTTGCTAGGAGACGCGTTGTCAACTGCCATGGTCAAAGCCCTGTAAAGCTCACTAATGCTGATACAAGACTTTTATTTATTTTCTCAACAAGTCCATGTGAATAAGATAATGAGTGACTCCATCCAGTAGTTCAGGTTTAGTGGCTCACTGCTGCCCTCTCTCTGTAGGTCAGTGCTGCTGCTCGCTGTGTCTCCAATTCATGAGAGATCCACATAAATATCGGTCATTAATATCAACATATCCTCTGTGTGAGTGAGTGAAATTCTATTGAAAAGAAGATGCAACACATTTTACAATGCTAAATTAGTCATATAACTTGAAGGAGTGCATCCAGTAAACAAGCTGTAGAGTCAGGGGATCGCTGTTGTGTCTGGCTGAACTCACGCTATTGTTGGTTATCTACTGTTAGCGATTTAGGAAATCTGTCCCTATACAGCATTCAACATGTAGGATGACCCGACATGCTGTTGAGTTTGTGTTCTACAAAGATGAAGCTAGTTAGCCTGTCTTACTAATAATAGCACCACTTTATGCTTATTTCAACATCTGCTGTCTCACCAACAGCTGTATTGTGTTTGATCTGAGTGCCTACCAATTGTCTGGGGATTTCCAAATTGCTTGAATGGCTGCAAAAGTAAAACGGCTCCTAACAAAGCTGAAACAGTGCTCTCCCCCGGTTCTCCCCCCGTAGTGAAGCAAACTGGAGATATAGCAAATCATTTTTTAACATGGAGAGAGCTTTTTAAAACAGTAAAAATGTATCTCCAGAGCAACGTTTATTGTACGATAGTGTTTACAAGCACACTACAGACTTTGGATCTGTTCTATGATGCAGGGTTATTTTATTTCTTTAATTGTTTCCACACAATTTTAGCAACGAAAGCCAGGAGAAAGTCCTCAGTCTCTACGGAAGCGTTTAGAGACTGGATTGTGAGTTCACATCACGACACAAAGTATTGAATAGACTGGAGTAACGTTGGACGGTTAACAATGTTGGTCTGCCAACATTTAGGGGGTTCTTGGTAATGAGTATGGGTTTTTTTTACCAAATAAGCACTTAAGTCAAGACAAATCAAGAGAATATTTATATATATATATAAAAGATGTCTTAGCTAAATTAACCACCATGAACATACTGTAATTTATTTTGAATCAATCCCGCATCCAGTCCTCCAGGCTGCTGCCATAAATACTCACTAGGGAACCAGATACGCTGCTGGAAATAGTTCCCAACAAATGCACTATTTAATCCTATTTAAGTTGCTTGTCAGAAATTACAGCTATTTTAGGAAACTATTACCAAATGTTTGTATTGTGAGACGGACTAACACATTGTCTCCTTTTTTCTTTACATTAAGAAAAAAACAAAACATCACCAGGCTCGTCCTTTTTAAAAGAAAGGTGATTTTTCAAACACACAGTGCGTTTCAGTTGGTGTGAGAGTGCAGACAACACGCTCTGTATAAATCATAGGATTATCTATTTATAGTGAGTTAAAGAATGATGAACCCCCACAGCAAAGAAAGAGCAAACCTCTGAGTGAATTGAAGGGAAATACATGTAGTTTTCTGACCTAAGGATACCTGCTGTGTGTTTTTCTGCAGCCGGTTCGAATCGAAACCTTGTCACAGTACATGTTTTTGTGTGAACATGTAGCCTATGCCTTTTTATTCCCGGGAGCACGGGCGGACATTTACAATACAAAGTTAGATTTACAGTTCCGTGATTGATTTTTCTTGTTTCTTGTTTTATGAAGACAACGTTGGCGTGTGTTGATATCGCTCTGCCCATAAAATATGTTTTGAATCTGTGCCGACAAGTCCTTGTTAAAATTTACGATCAAACATTGTTTTGAAGCTTTTATTTATTTAGCCGATTCCCCATAGCTCTGTGTAAATGTTTACATCTACCTTTTCATCTTTGTATCATTATCATTTGCAACTTCAAAACCAGGGAGAGGCAGCGTCCTTTGAAATTAAACCCTCGTGGAGAAGAATAATAATGCAAGAGAAGAATAATGCAGTGGAGCTGGTCAGAGAAAAGCCTACTGACATTATATATGTGCGTCTGACTGTCTGACTGATGTTGTACTACGTTTTCCCCGCAGCAATAAGTACAGCTCCCTGTCTCTGCCATAAAACCCTGCTGTTGCTGCTGGCGCACCCAGACACTGTTGCCAATGGTCACTGGCATTGGATGTGGTTTTTAATTTCGAGCTGAACATTGATCACTGCACACAGCAGCCTCACTGAATAAATTAGATTAAGTTTAATGGTAGTTTTTTTTTTTCTTTCCCCCACAAGAAGATTCCCGTTTATCTTCCATGGACAGCTGTGGAAGAAGTTGTGGATCCTCTTGTACATTTTATTCATTAAGTAATCAATAACTTGTTGTGTGTGTGTGTGTGTGTGTGTGTGTGTGTGTGTGTGTGTGTGTGTGTGTGTGTGTGAACTGTGTGGCGTCACTCAGTTCTCACACAACCAGGAGAGGTGACTAAGAACAAGCTGGTAAATGCCGGCCGAGAGATTTTATTTTTGGTATGGGAACATTAATACACACATTCATACACAATGACACCAAAGAGGAGCTCTACACGCTGCCATTTACTGCAGCAGCTGCACTGAAGTAGCTTTGAAGTGATATTTCTGCTTATGGGCAATTTTACAATTTTTCCAACTAAGAGAAAGAGAAAGAGAAACAATTGGACGCCTTTTTTATGTCCCTGCATGCAGTCTGAAGTGATGAGAGATTAGTCTATCACCTCAATTATTAGATGTCTCTGGTAACAATAGGAACTCTGATGTGTTTTGGTTTCTTTACAATGGCTCCTCCTTTAAATTTAGAATTCAGTTCAGGATTTAAGGATCACTTTGAGAGCTCTGCAGGGTCAGACACCTGCCTACATAAGAGAGCTACCACAGCTCTGTATCAGCTCTAGGTATCTGATGTCTTCTGATCAGGGCTTATTGGTTGTAGCTCAATTCAGCCTTAATATTGAAGGAGATTGTGGCTCTTTGCACTCATGTTTACTTTATAAATTACTCTGATTGAAGGTAGTGAAATACACCTTCTGTAGTGCCTCTTATAGTTAAGAAGTTGTACAGTTACACCCTGATGTTAACTTCTATAGTAATAATAATAACTCTCAATAAGCTCTGTGGAGTAGAGCTGTTCACACATGTACAAATAAATCTTTAACACTGGATCTTCAAAGTGAACTGATTATACTGAGTCACTGTTGTCCCTGAAAGAATCAGTAACTTTTATCAGTGGAGCCCTCCTCACTGGTAACTGAGAACGCCGTTATCAGTACAGCCACAACTCTAACAGTAGATAACTTTCTCATTAAAAGCTCAAACCCACCGAAACAATAAATAAAGGGACAACTGTCCAAAAAAAAACCTGTTACAAATAATTTGCTGCTTTGCTATTAACCTTGTAGACAGCACTCGTAGCGGCCAAGGCTCATTGATGCAAGTGGGGAGCGAAGGCTGGCCCGTGTGGTCCGATCCAACAGACGAGCTACTGTAGCTCAAACTGCTGAAAAAGTTAATTATGTCGTTCCAGCGGATTAATATAGTTTCACTGGAACTACATTGGTAGGTAATGGACTACATCAGGTATTAATGGGCAGCCAGCAGCCAATCAGAATTGAGTTGAATACTCAACATCTACAGTGTTTTTGAGAATCAGTGTAATATCACAACAAAATTGCAATTATCAAGTGTATAAATATTTTCTTACACTCCTACAGAATCAGCTCTGAGGCAACCACTAAGTTTAGAAAAATGTGAACAAACCGCATAATCAATGACATGGAATCTTTTAACTGAGCTAAACAAAACCATTTGAGTGCGCAACTCATTCATAATTTACACCTCTACATGGAGTAGACTCATTAGTTCTGCATATATAGACTGACTGTCGGCAGTTTCTATTATTTTGTCCACCCCATTGATATTAGTGAGGGTTCAATACAGTTCAACAGCACCACAAACTCCTTGCTTTTCCTTCCTTGGACTGCTCAGTCGCCCAAATCCTCACGCTGCCCATTTTTGCTGCTTCTAACACATCAACTCTGAGGACAAACTGTTCCCCCGCTGAATATATCCCACCCACACTGACAGGTGCCATGATAACCAGATAGTTATTCACGTCACCTGTCAGTGGTCATAATGTTGTGGCTGGTGTAGTGTATACAGCTTTTGAATGTAGTTTACTTTCTTATTGTGTTGCCATAGCAGCGAGGTAGCATTACACAGGAGAAAAGAAGTAACCCTGGTGCGTAGCATGTAGTAGAGTAGCGTTTGTTATTATTTATGAGGAAATGTTTTCTTTAGCAGATATGTCAGTAATGGACATAAATGTGTGTAACTGCTGCTGATCCACTTGCTGTGAGTTTGGGGTGAGTGTATGTACTGGATTAATCTATTATTCTCTGTTATGAATACATACATTACATCCTGTAGTTTAGAGAGGTTTACAGGAGGTAGAGCAGGTTGTTCAGTAATCAGAAGGTTGGCAGTTCGATCCCCGGCTCCTCCCACTGTATGTCGAAGTGTCAAGATACTGAACCTCAAGTTGTTCCAGATGCTGTGTGAATCAGATTGTGAGTATAGTTATAGTGAACATATGAATATGTGTGAATGGGTGAA